TTGATTTCAGTCTGTTAAAATAATGAAAGTGGATTACACAAATCAATTCTTGGAATAGAACACAAAAGCATATATTATTTCCTTTACACTTTCAGAACAAGCTTTTCAAGCGAGATTGACTGTAACTATTTTAGATCGTAACTAAAACCAAGTGTTAATTTTCTGAACACCACCTAAGAGAAGACTTAGAGTACTCCTTCTAGTATCTTATGGTTGTCACGCTTAACAGTCTTTTAAACCCTTAACCATCTTACAAACAGCTTTCTATATGTGATTAATTATTTAAGACTCCAGCTCTTACATCATTACATGTGAAATGAGAGGAGGTGTTTCAATAGGAGGATGTGCCATTAAAGGCGATTAGACAGTGGTCTGTTTCATTTCACAGAGGGAGTAAACGCTAGCAAAATGCTGTAAAACATTCAAGAATACATAGTTTCTGGTAATGTCTCCACAGTTATATATAACTAAATATGTCATAACGTCTCAAAGTATAGCAAGAAATAAGCCATTGGCTTTTCAAGTTGTCAGGCATGGTTTTCTCATTCCTAGATATATTTTTTTTTAAATTATTTCTACTCCAGATAGGACTCAGACTCTAAACTTCAAACTACATTGCTCTAGAAACATTTAAAAGATTAAGTTTGTCCGGAATCACTGTTGCAGTCACTGAATTAAAAAATACAGCATTTTTGAGGACCTGTGTTACAAAATGAGTGGTGATCCAGAACATGGAATGCAATCAAATCTTCCAAGTACAAAGCATGTATTCAAAACCGAACTGTGAAGCGAGGATGAATTCGCCTTGTGAATACAATAAAACCTGTAAATCAGTTCATTAAAAATGGAAGACAACAATTCGAGCTAAGGGCTGCGGGCGTAAACTTTCTAACAGGGTGTGCAGAATAATGTGAGTTTCCGTACCGGCGAAGCAAGTGAAAGACCTGCAACGGGGAATTCCATGGTATTCACACGCTACTGTTCTCACCAGTAAGGAATTATACAACAGTATTTCTAATGATGGAGTCCCAAAGCAATGCTTCTTCTCTTCCCAGTGGAAAATATCTTTTGAAGCAAAGAGCGGCTGTGGGATTCAAGAGGAGGGAAAACACATACCATAAAATATAATTAAAAATTGTGGAGGCTGCCTATGACAAGAATAACCATAAAAAACAGATACAAACCAGCTGGCTGTTAACAACTTCTGAGTTATAAAAATCTTAAACCTGCTGTAAAGCACTCAATTCGATTTACATAACCACAGAGCTGACATTCCTTTTAGGCTCCTCTGCTGGGGATTATTTTGACATGTTTTAAGGCAGCATAAAAAGCAACTGTGAAAGGAAGACATGTATCATCTTACATAAAAATTCATTCTAGCCTTAAGATTGGACTTACACACTTTAATCCCAGCATCTTTACTGAACCTGGAAAATATCTTCAATGGCTACTGGTGATTCAATTTTATAACATTATTCCTTTGGTGCTCATATTTTTGATAAAGTTGATAGTGTGTGTATACACACAAACAAACACAAAAAAATCTATACAGTCACAGAAGCTTAAGTTTCAGTATTATTGCACAAAATATCAGCTCTGCTAGAACCTACTACAGACTGCGGTAGATCTAGTCTTAGATAAATTACTTTGCTTAAGATCGTGATCAGCCTTTGCTAAAAAAGAAAAGCATTTCTTAGGAACGTAATGATGCAGACAGCATTTTACAGGACTAACATAGCTTGCTGTAGGGAATTAAAATAAACAAAATAAAATAAAATCAATCTTACATTGAGTGAAGTTTTGATGTATAAGTGCTGGCAGCTTACATTGCCCAGAGCACAGAATGAGTTTTGCCATTTGATAATTTGCTTGATTCACTGTGCTGCCTCATGCAGGGCATTTTATGCCTGATTTATGTTTAATCGAGTCACCTGCTTAATGTTAAGGAGGGTCACAGTTAGATAGAAGGGTTATGACCATATAGGGCTTTCAACATCTCCCAGTTTGACATAAGAAATGGGTGTAAGTGTTAAGGGTCAACCTTTTTCTTTTATTTTTATTTAATGTTCTCTATGGAATATTGCATAAAACATTAATATACCACAAAACCAATTTGATTCCCCTTTGAAACAGAGTAGGCAAATAAGGATTAACAGACTTAAAACACTGACAAAAATAAAATAAAAGCAATCTGTAGTCTAAGAAAAGATCATGTGTATGTGGATTTTTTTAAGGATTATAAAGTACATCCTTACACATAAAAAAAGGAATGTAAGTTTTCTCTTTCTCTAAATTCAATATGCAATTTAATTTAGTCTGGCATCACTGGAAAAATATAAAAGTTTTAAAACAGGAGGGACAGACTTTTACTATAATTAAGGTGTCAGGATTTACTATTCAGACTGAATGTTTGTCCTTTTAAACAAATGTAACTGGGCAGCAGAATTACAGAGCACCTTCTTTCTGGAATTGCTACAAGCAATTATATTAACAGAATAATTTAATAAATAAAATATTATGTTGTCAACTACTACAGACCGGAAAACTTAGACAAACTTGATCTTTATCAATATTTCTGATTACTTTAGTGCTTCAACAGGCTGAAGATTACTGCAAGACATTATGTATGTTGAGATTAAATTATTTCCATATAGCACTTGTAGACATTGTGCCATGTAAGTTATTTAGAGACATATTTTTAAGGAGGAATTATTACAGTTAGTAAGGGAAGATGGGATTCAGCACTTACCAGTTTGGATAGCTGCATTTCCAAGTTTACTTAATGCTGATTTCAATTAAAAAAACATATAGTCTGTAGGGGGGGGTTTTATTTTCAGGAAGAGTGTATATTTGTGCAGAGTTATTTGCATTATTGCGTGTAAGTGCTAAAAGAATCTGGCATCATAGCTTTAACAAATTACAGGCAATTGGATGATTTTTCCTGGATAAGTAAGCCTACTTGAGAAAACACTAATGAGGTTAATATTAGCGCATTGGAATATCCTAAGTGAAAGGTTTATACCATTTTGTCCTTATTTACAGCACAGAAGGACTGTTCTTACACTAAAACTAAAACTAGAGATCCTATTGCAATTAAGATCAAAAAATGGATGTTTGAATAACTACTATCTGGAGTGTTAATTCATTACCACATTCAAAGACTATCAGTTTTTTAAGTGCACTAAAAATGATATGTACCTGTAATGTCATGAACCCATTTACCAGGACCCAGTAACAGACACAAAGCACACTGAATCCAGAGGGATATCAGGGGTTTCAATCCCAGACTAAAATGCACTTTGACTGTCTGCTAAATGGCATGTGTGTTTTACATAACATTTTATGTAACTATTAACATACAAAAAAGTTCTTATTTATATTCAGAACATTGTAAGCTACCTCAAACACATATTGATCATTTCCACAAAATTACCTACTAGACAACACCTGGACACAGTTCTGTAGCCACACTTTTAAAGTAATTTACCTACATTGGCAGCTTCAGGAAGTGACCCATCTCACCTCACATTAGCTTTCTAAAATTTAAGCATTGAGCCTTAACTGTTCCTCCAGGTTGCCTACAGTCAATGGAGAAACAAGGCAACTCCAGAAGGTGATTCACGTGACCTATCTTACGGTGAGAGGTTTCACCCTCCAGAGATGTCTGTTACTTTCCATTGGCTACGAAATGAGGTGATTAGCTAAGATTTCAACACCTAAATTTCACACATACTAACTTCTGGCAGATGAATCTCCCCCCGACAGGTAACTTAGATCGCTAAAGCTAGGGAAGATGAGTTTCTCCCCTCAACAGTGAGGATACAGTGACAATATTTACCCGTATGCTTGCAGATCCTAAGGTAAAAATAATGAACCAGTGCTTTGGTATTCCATTTGTAGGTGCATACTTCCTTTAGAAGTGTTTTTATTTTTTTAATTCATAAAGAATGACTATAAAGCTATTTCAGTATTATTTAAATCTAGTTTACGAATATTAAAAACATTTTAGACTTTAAAATCTCAGCAAAATAAAATAAACAACAAAAAGATGCATTGTTTACATTGTTCTTAAAAAAAAAAAATGCAAACAAAAACCCCAACCTTTTTGTTCCAAGGCATGAGGGCCCAAACAATTAAACTAATACCATCAGAGGATGGGAGGAACAAGACCTAAACTTGTCTGCATGCCTAAAAATACAAAAATTTCATTTCTGTTAAAGGTAGAATTTTCAAAATATTAATTCTTCACCTCTTTTAAATTTTTTTTAAACATTCAAACCTATCAGAGCTAGAAAGCAGCAACAGGTACATAAGCACTTGGTAAATGGCTGATGCCATAGTTATCCCATTGGAAAATCTCATATTCTTTATTATTCAAGTAACAGGACCCCCAAGAATTTTTCTGGAGCAATTCAAAACTTTAAGTGATATAATCATTTATACAACTTTTTTTTGTATTTTTTATAATATATAATCACTATCTCTGTAGCTAATGTATCTGTCCAAAGGAAGCAGATTATGTACTGAGAACATGTACTGGTTTTTAACTCCAAAATTCAAGGACCCTAGTTTTTATACCAAAAGTTAAAGAGTTACTGATAGACAAGACAGACAAGAAAAATCACTTTGAATTCTATTAGCTCTCTTACCTTCCATCAGTTTTTTTCAAATACTTTGCCAGTTCTTTTTTTTCCCCCTGTATTCAACTTCCTATTAAAATCAAATTAGTGAGGCAAACTGATTTCACAATATAGACATTCACCTTTTAATCAAAAACTAGATTTAATGCCAGAGTACATATTGCTAAAGAATGCTAATCTTCTACTGGACCGAGTCTTTCCCAGCTGGATTACTGATAAAACCTGGCCCCCATCAGCAGTAACAGGGTTATCAGTAGGAATTCTACTGAACAAGAACTTTCACCCCCAAAGTTCCTGCCAAGTCTTGAACAGGGGGTGGAAATCAGCTGCACATCAGCAAGCGCCCAAGCTGCGTTCATACAGAATCCAATACCTCACTGGAAGTGGTTGGCACGAGAGAGAGGAGAGTGTCTGAGCTCCTTATTAGAGGGAAAATATGAATTCTTTTGCATATACAGAGAATCTCAAACATGATCAGAGGTACGTAGCTCTCCTGTTCACTTGAATGAACTTGAAGGGATGATGCTCAGTGATGATTATGGGCCTATTTATTTAATTTAGTATAGAATAGTACAGAGACTTCTGCACTAGCACGTTCACTTGGTGCAGTGCAACAGAGGTACTAACTCAGGAATGGAAACAGTTTAGTCATGTCATAATACTGATGCACCTGGACTAATGCCAAGCGATATCTTTGGTACTATAAATATGCTCTTTATTCCACCTTCTTGAAGAGGGTGGCCGACAAAACAGAGAGAAGTATTAGAAATTATCTCTAACTCTTGGAAGAATTTATAAAAACCTGACAGCTTTCCCTATGCTTCTGGCTTTCAGGACAGGCTGAAACTGTTTTAACATCTGTGCCAAGAAAGCTCTGCGCTCAGTAGCTGTCTTTCTAAATAAAGTGCTCTTATATAGCATATTCCAGATGAAAAAAGTAGATGGCAGCAGCAAAACATAAAGACAGTTAGCATGGATTCCTGAAAGCTTCAACATCAAAAAGATGGCCCATGCTCGTGAGAATTACGGAATTCCAGCTGGATGAAGCAGGTGGGAAATTTATACTAAGAAAAAAAGAAAAATGATTCAAAAATTAAATTTGCCAAACTTTGCATTAAAATTATAATTTAAAAACTGAAAATTCTATTTATAAATGTTATTTAATATGATGCTATAGAGCAAGTAATATTTTAATGCCATTTAGCAGGTATTTTTTTCAACAATTTGTTATTGAAAACACGGCAAAGGCAGCAAGAGAAGATAAACGTATGGTAATTTGTCTGAAAGTTCTGGAAATGCTCTTTTTCGGTGACAATTATAAAAAGCTAAAGATTTCTGAAAAGTATTCATTTTCTCAGTGAAATTTCTTCTAGAAAGTGTATGCGAAAGAAAAAATAATACAATTTTAAATTATTAGAATGTGTGAAAGATTTCAGAGAAGAAGCTAGGAAACATGAAAGAGCAGAGAGAAAAAAAGGAGTAAGAATTCAAGTCCGTATTTTCTATAGCCATTTGGGAAAATGGACATGAAATGAAGTTAGGAAACATAATAAGCAATGTTAGCACTGCAAATCCCTTTTAATTTGCAGCTTCTCTATTTATCAGTGTTTAGTTATTCATTTTTTCCTAAAAAAAGCATTATTAATGGCCTTCCTTCCAGATCTACTAGATTAGCCTATTTTGGTGGGATAAAGGATTCGACTGGTCAATCTGCTAAAGAGTAAGGGAAATAATAAATCTATTGAGGCTGAACCAGCAGCATTAAGATGTCTATAATCAAACTAATAATCCTGTCAAAATATAGTTACATTTCATGCACTTTCTAGACTTGTAATCAAAACCAGGAGGTGAAATTAAACTGAGCATCATTGCTTTATTTTGGCTCTGTGTGTCTATATCTGATGGAGAAAAATGCAACAGTCTAAATTAGAAAGGAAAGTAAATGGTGAAAAGATCAGAAAAATTTTCAAAACCACTCCGTTTTGCAAAAACAGGAGGAAGAGATTTATGTATTTTCTATTTGAAAGACCGAGAAGTAGTCAAAAGTTAGTGGCCTAATCAAAAATATTTGAAAGAGCGAGAAAGCATCACACCAGGCACCATGATATCAATACTCATACACACAAAATTACATGTTGATTAGGTTATAAAGAACCCTCAGAGTCTTTCACATCTCTGAAAAAGACGCTGAGCTCTAAAAGACTGCATATCTTGTAAGATAATTACAAAGTGACCTTTAAGTACCCAGATAAATTCAAGGCAACAGAAACCATACCAAAGCAACAAATAAAAAGTGAAAGAATTATACTGAAAACTGTTAAAGAGGATCACTTTAAGTAACCATAGGAACAGCACTGCACAAAAAGTGAAATGGAGCTAAGCAACACATTAGACGTTAGCGTTTAGTGACGGAGGATGAAATGAGGAGCCTTCTTTTGGGAGCAGGCCACAGATGGATCTGTGTTAAGTGAATAAATACAATTAAGTCATGAATAATTCTAAAAGGAGCAATGAAGCAGATTCAAATACAATTCCAAAAGACAGGGCTATCTGAGAGGTTATATAAACTGCATTGAATTATACAGAAAAACAAACAACAACAACAAAGCCACTTACCACAAACTTTTTTCACAAAGATAAAACGATGTACCAAGGATAGGGCAAATGTTTCTGTGGCTACACTGAATTAGGACAGTCTCATCCGGGAGACAGAAATGAAGTTAAATGCATTGGCAAAAAACTTCATCCAACTTGACCACAAGATATATAAGGACCAGATTAAATAGCCTTCTATTTTGCCTATGCCCTAGTTTATATCTGGGCTACCTACTAACTCTATTAACTTACTTGGTTACTTAATAGAAACTACAGTCTGAAAAATAAATCAATATTCTGCGTTATTATTTCTACAACAAATAAGTACATTATTATTTCTACAACAAAGTCCTGGTGCTCTTTTCAACCGTTAAAAGTACCAAAAGGATTTCTTTCCATTACTGAGGACTTAATGAAATATATCTGAATATTAAATAAACAGAAGGAGTAGGAATAAGGAAGACTAATTAAACTACTCACCCTCACAACTGTTCTGGGACTTTATAAAGGGGAGAGGGAGAACTAGGTGAGAATAAGTCACAGACAAAGGTGAGGTATCAGATCACCTGCAGCAAATTCTAGGAACATACCCGTTCACATAGAATAAAAGTGAGTATTTACCCAGAGCATGTGACTCACAGCTCAAGCTGTTTTGAGATGATACAGCTTTTGAACACTGCACTTAACACTGGGATCAATATCAGTAAATTCACTCTATCCTGGTACTACAAGTGGAGATTAAAACAAACAAAAACAATTGTAAAACATCATCATAATAATACAAATAGTACTGACACCAAAAGGACCGCAACTACCAATTATAATGTAACCAAAAATTAAACACTTTACTTGAGAAAACTATGCAGACAGAAGTCTGTTGGGAAAAAAAATGTGAAAGATTATCTATAACTTAAAGACTTAGACATTAGCAGTTACAGGAGCATGTGGCATATTGGCATAACCTCTTATCTCATGGTAAGCCTGTATTTTCTATAAAAAAGATTAATTTAGAAGATTTGCCTCTAAATGCAAAATCAGCTCATATTTCTTTGAATTTCTGAGTGGATGTGGATATGGTAATTATCCTGTGTTTGGACTGAGAGCTTCTTTTTCTGCACAAGAAAAACTGCACTGCACCTATAGAAAAATACATTTTTTTCCTTCTTCTTGTTCATAAAGTTAACAAACAGGAGCCTCCAGAACAGGAGTAATAAAGAGAAAAGGTAAATGCAGATCAAAAAGAGATTCGCAGGAACAAGTTTCTCCTGGAGTAAAGGAGAAAGCAATTAAAGAAGTCAAAAAAGGGTGTACTGCATGGGATGTCAATGAAAAAAGTCTTCATTGTTAACATTCATTTGACAAACGGTATCCAACTATTGAGCAGGAGATGGAGAAACCAACTTGCTCACGCTTAAAACAGCGTTTCCTTATGAGCATTTTTAATTGTTTTCAGATGTTTTTTGATCGTAGGAGTGATTAACATTATTCAGCAGTCATGAGTAAGTGCTTGTGTTCCAAAAGCTTGTAAATTTTTGCCAGGTATTATACTTCAACAAAAATGGCACCAGAAACTCTACAAGTGAAATATTTATCTTTGGAAAATGTAGTAATTTTACAGTATATACACACCAAATATATACTGGCCTCAATTTCTATAACAGTAATCCCAACTTTGAAGTAAATCCACATTCACAAAAGAAATTACGTTCTAACCTTGGTTGTAGTAGAGCATCTATGATGTAAATTATAAACCTCCAAACCATACTACCTGCCAGTTACAACGTTGGCAAGGTGCCTCCATTTTTCATTAGAAATTTCCCAATTCTGTTTCCACACAAACCCAGCTACTTCATCGACCAGAAAATTAAGCAAGGAATACGGGCTGAAGCATTAGCACCCAGCTATCTTTACTATTTAATCAATAACACATTCACTGTGTTTTTGGCTCATAAAAAGTAGACTTTTTCAGAAAGTAAGTTCAGGGAGGAGTGGAAGAAGAGAAAGAGTTGAGATGCACAGCTGCAAGGTGCAGCGTGCAAACTTGCCTCTAAGCCAAAGCACAGCTCTGAATTGCTGTATCCTTTGGTATAGATGCACCCCGAAAAGTCATATTCTTTACAGGAAAAGTATAGGATACGTAGCCATCTCTGCTCAGGCCTTCCTAGGAAGCAAGCATTCTTTTTTCTAACTTAAGAGGAATAATCCACTGTGGTAATACTTATTTGGGCTCCACGAAAATCTCACTCCCTCATATCATTCTTTATTAAATATTAGCCGGACGCTATTTTATAAAGGGTTCTCCCATATTCCATAAATACTCAGTTCACATTGCTATAAACTCTAGAAGCAAGAGTGCTGTATTTTTCACTATTCGTTTCTAGGACTCTGCTATCCTCGGTGTGTCCAATCTCTGCATACCTGAGACTTGAAAGGCAGAATATATTTGGAGCTTTCAATACAGGAAAAAAAATTACTTCAAAAATTGTTTTGTCACATAGTGACTGAGTGTGCGGGAACTACTGTCGTCTTCCACTTAAAATGAATGAAATATTAATGTACTAGAATCTTTTGAGATATTTTTCAAAACAAATGTACTGATTCACAATAAATCACCCTTTTTCCTAAATGTTTGCACTGAATACTGATGAAACTCTGAATTTTTTTTTTCTCTATTTACAGCGTTGTTACGATGCAGCAAGTTACCTGGTTACTAAACTGATAAAGCAATACGGTCCTTTTATTCCCATATTCACATGCATTCATTAAGCAAGGGCACACAGAAAAACTGTCACTGCTTGCACTGTGTTAAGTACCTTTTCCCACACTTTGAAGTCCAAGCTTAAGTGACATTACAGAGTCAGTATTCTAATACAGTAATTTTATCTAGGTCTCCTTATTTTAGATTGATGCATATATGCATATCATAATATATCATTAAAGAATTAGTTTACTGCCAGAAAAAAAATGTATCAGTGATATCATGCATTTAGTGATGTTGTTTACTTAAGACCTTACCCCTGATTTTCATGATTCTTAGCAAGGTAATCCCAGTAACCTGGTGCAATCATACTGGAGATCACTGGAATATGTGATTGATACCATCTTATGCTTTGAACTCTGTATTTTCACTGTAAGTGCCAGAAATGTTCTTCAAAAAAAGTACAATCTGCAGAAAATAATGTTATTCTATTTACTTTCCTTTCAACATGGGCAACTGGATTTTTCAAGCCATAGGCGTGGATTTAGTGCCTGTGATAACAAACAGCATAACAAACATAGTGAAAAGGAAATTTAGTAGATGCATCCCCGCATTTCATAGACCAAGCACAAATCATTCTACTTCCTCTACATCACTCTAAATCTCACCCACCAAGTAACAAAAAGGTAATATTGACAAAACTTTATCTTTTGGTAAAAATTGGTAGTACATTGTCTATTTATCTACCATTGCCATG